TTCATTGGAAGGACTGATGCTGAAGCTGAAACTACGATACTTTGGCCATCTGATACGAAGAACTAACTCATTTGAAAAGACCCTGATGCTGGAAAAGATTGAAGGTGAGAGGAGAAGGGGATGACAGAGGATGAGATGGTTGGGTGGCATCACTGACTCAGTGGACGTGAGTTTGAGTAAGCTCTGGGAGTTGGTGATGGACAGGGAAGCCTGGTGTGCTGCAGTCCATGGGGTCACAAAGAGTTGGGCATGACTGAGTGACTAAATTGAACTGAACTGAAAATATATTAAGCAAAAACTGACAGAATTCAATGGAGAAGCAGACATTTCCATAAATATAATTATACATAATACAAAGTACACATAGATCCGAGTTCAGTTGCTCACAAGAGACTGTACTGACCCACAGCCTGGCACAGTAGACATCTCAGTTCCAGCTGGACTCTGGGCCAGCAGCAGAGTACTGATCTTAGTAAGGAGTCCAGTTCCTGCTCCCCAGATTAGTCTTCCTGCTAGGCACCTATATTCACATGGATGTTAAAAGTAGCCTGCAAGGCTGATATCTTGTCCACAATATCCTCTTAGACACAGAAGTTGAACTGCATTGAGAAAAGATACCTCAAATCTTGCTGACAATGTGAGTTCTCTCTTCATTTTTGGTACCTAACAATTTCCTCTTCTTGTGTTTAAGAAGATGAATACGTATATGTATTCAGTATACGTATACGTTAGCTGTATACGTCCTTAATGTTTAAATATTTTATTCAACAGTTCTAGAGTTTAGGAGTGAAAAGGGAGAATTCTTATATCTTCTCAGTTAGTCTTCTTGACCTATTCCAGATATAACTTTTGAAATTAGACAATATCCAGGGTACTATCAAAAGATAAAAAAAAGTAGGAGCAAGAGTCAAAGAAAACTATCTCCATGTTCCAGTGAATTCTGACAACAAAAGTAATATAAATTTGGCTTTAAGAATATCAATAAGAACTGAAAAAAGGATTTGAGGATTGCAAATCTGAACTTGTTCTTCAAAAAGAATCATTACTGTTACCCTCTCACAATTACATAGCACTTCACTCATCTCAAAAAATAGTTTACAATATCACAATACTTTCAGTTTTAATAAATATATATCTTTACTTAGAATAATTCGCCAAAACCTAAACTTTATTATACCTACATTATATATACATGAAATATTTTCATTCTGGCATTATTTAAAATTACCTTTATGCTTATTCAGAAGTTTGTAGCCTTCACAGTATCTGCCTGGTGAAATCATCATCTTGGCTGTGTCAAGATAAGAGTATGTTGCAGCGAAATCGAATTCCTTTTTCCCATCCCACCAACCTCTCTGCTTGGCATAGTTTCTCATGTCTGGGTGTTCCCGATCAATTTTGGTCGTTATAGAAAGCTGATTAGAAATATTGCGAACTCCCTCTATTTTCAAAGAAGAGAGGAAGTGAGAAGAAAAGTCACATTTAATGTAATGTATCTATCTCTGTACATTATGATCTTTAATCACTATTTCAATGTAAATATAGGCTTCTAAACGTTGTACCATGTATATCTATTTATTACCCATGAATAAATAACTTTTTTAAATTAGACTTTTTATTTTGAAGTAACTATGGATTCACATGCAATTATAAGAATTAAAGAACAAACTATGCACCTTTATACTGTCTCCCCAAATGGTAACGTCTTGTATGATATCACAACCAAAATATTGATATTCATACTGTCAAGATTATATCACAATGATCACTCATGTTGCCCTTTCAGAGCCACACCCACTTATCTCTACACCCACCTTTTCATAAACCCCAGGCAACCATCTGTTATTCATTTCTATAATTGTCATTTAAAGAAACCCATATAAATGGAATCATACAATATATAATCTTAAGGCTTTTTTTTCCCCTCAGTTTAATTCCCTAAAGATTATTCCAGGTTATTATATGTATCAACAGTTCATTCCTTTTTATTGCTGAGTAGTATTCCATGGTCTAGGTATACTACAGTTTATTTAAATATTCACAAGTTAAAGGACTGCTTCGTTGTTTCCAGTTTCTGCCTATCGTGGAAAAAGCTGCCATACAAATCCATGTACAGGTCTTTGTGTGCATTTAAGTTTTCTTTCTCAGGGATAAGTGCACAAGATTGTAAGTGCTACACTGTATCATACTTGCATATTAACATCCTTTTTTTAACTGCCAAACTGTTTTCCAAATGACTTATATTCGTACTAGCAATGTATCAGTGACCCATTCTCCACACTCTCACTAGCTTTTTGGTAGTGTCATTTAAAAATCTTTAACCATTCCAGTAAAATAGATAGCCAGTGAGAATCTGCTGTATGATGCTGGGAGCTCAAACCAATGCTCTGTGACAACCTAGAGGGGCGGGATAGAGTGGAGGTGGGAGGAGGGTTCAACAGAGAGGTTTAAGACGCATGTATGCCTGTGGCTGATTCATGATGTATGGCAGAAAACAGCACAACATTGTAAGGCAAATATCTTCCAATTAAAATAAATAAAATTTAAAAATGTCTCAGCCCTTCTGATAGAGGTATAATAATGTCTCATTGTGATTTTAGTTTGCATTTCCCTAATGGGTAATGATGCTAAACATCATTTCGTGAGCTTTTGTGATATCTGTATATCCCTTTAGGCAAAATGTCTCTTTGTGTCTTCTTGTTCATTTTTCTAGTTGGATTGTCTTTTTACTGTTGAATTTTGACAGTTATTTATAATATTTTAGATATTAGTCTTTTATGTGAATTACTGTTTAAAAAATAGCCATAAGTAAGTTTAGAACGGATATAGAAGGCTTCTAAAAATATCATGACACTTAAGTTATAACAAAATTTACAATTAAAATACAAAACAGAAGAAACAATAAAAGCCTATTCTAAACAAATCATAATAAATGAAATAGATATGATAAATAAAAATTAACAACATTTTAAAACAGTTTAGAACGACAATAAGCCAAGTAGAAATCAGTTAAATTACTCTAATGAAGTCATACTTGGGATGGTCTCACTACAATAATAGACTTAAGTCATGACAGAAGCAAAGTCAGGGAAGAATTTTCCATCTAGTAAGATAACTCCCTACAGTTAAGCTATTTAGTTCTTGGGCTCATTTACTATTAGGAAGAGAAACAAGTTGGCAAAGTTAATCTGCAACTGAATAATCAGACTCAATGAAGGTGTTCATTTCAGATGGCTTGGTGGGGCTCATTTTTCAACAAAAAACACTTACTCATTTTTCTCTTGTATGTAGCATACTTGACAAAATAAAAAGTAATTAATGGTATGATCAGGCCAATTATCATAATAAGAAAAATAGTCTCAATTCAATTTTATGTATTAATAAACATGCATGCAAAATATAAAATAAAATGTCCATCTAAACAACTGTCAATAACCTGCTGTGAAAAATAGCATCCAAATCCTGCAAAGCTCAAAGCTACCTTCATGAAGATTTTCTAAACTTCTCCAGTTCACAATGACTTTCCCTTTCTTTAAATATTTATGGCATATATATGTATATATTATTCATGTACTATTTAATATTTTCACATGTGTATCTGTAAAACTATGAGATCCAGAGGGTAAGTACACAAAAAGTATGTGAACATGCCTTAGCACAAGACTATACTCAAGTGAAAGAATACTGAACAAAGAGTCAGGATGGAAATATTTAAATTCTAAGGCTAAAACAATAAATAAATAAAATTTAAAAACAATAACTTCTATCATTCACTGCCCTGAGTACATAATTTCATATCTCTGAATTTCCTCACTGGAAAATGAGTATATATGATCACAAAGAAATCAAGAAAAAAAAAAGCAAAGCATTCTAAAACAATTGTTTTATTTACTCAATGACATTAAATGTTTACACTTTACTACTGTTACTACTAACATATTCTTTCTCACCACTAACTCACAATCACCAATCCCCAGTAACACTCCCTAGTCCTCACCTCCATATCCACACATGATGAAATTCTGGAGTTCAGCCCAAAGTTTAAAAGATGAAAAAATAATAAAGTAATGATTTTATCTCATTAAAAGGTAAAAAACTACTATAAAGCATACAAGAGTTACTTCACAGAAAATGTACACAGGTTATATGAAATTAATATCATATTTATGAAAAAGAGATGATAGCACCTTTTCCTCTTTTTCAAGAAAGCTCTTTATAGAGTTCTTTCACTTTTTTTCATTTCCCCTGCAGTTTTCCCCTTCATTGCACTGGAGTATAAATCTTGAAAAACAACTAAATGAAATGTCTGCAATTAGGAGGTATTTTATTAACTGTAAAACAAATTAAATCATGAAAAGCTGTCCATACCTTCTACTTTTTCTGCTGCCCAGTACTTTCCTGCAGTCTCCAGAATCCAGGCTTCATTTCTATCCGCTATCAGGAAACTGTTGTGATAGCTAAATACCATCCTGCCCTCTGAACAATTTCCACCCTGGCCATATTTTTCTAATAAATCAACAATGACATTGAGGGCTTTTTCAGCTGTATCACCTCTTTCAAGGCCAAGTCTAAAATAAAAATATTAAAGCTCTCAGATTAAAAGAAATTTTCATTATTTTTCTTGCACATGAGATTTTGTGTTTATGTTCAAAGAAAAACCTCTTCAAGCTAATAGATACAGGCAAATCCAACTTTTAATCTATTCCTTCTAAAGTTAGTTTGGGATGATGAAAACAAAGATCAATGTTCAAATTCCAACTTGGTAATTTATTTGCAAGCTGATTTATCTCTAAATCTCCAGATTTCTCATCTGTAAAATCAGGATAATAATAATAGCCCATAAGGTAACTGTGAGAATTAGTTATGGTCTAATAAAATATGTTAAGTACTTCCAATGAATCATAATTTTCAATTCCTTCCCTTCCCCTAATTAATGACATTTGAGAGTCTTGAAATTGCATACCTGTATTCTGAAGCATTTTTAACACAAACTATAAAGTATAAAAGTCCAAAAAATGGGGGAAAAAAGGAAGATAAAACATGTTAAAGAGTTACACCAAAATTTTAAGTTTAGACAGGTTCTATAGTGCAAAAATGTAACAAAAAAATAACCTGACAAGGTCCATGCCCAGCAGTGCCTCTTCATCACAAACTTTTTCTCTTCCCCATACAGCTTCATTCCCAATGCAAACTCCATGCTCATTGGCTCCCATTTCTGCTCCCCATAACCAAGCTGGGCGACTAAGGACAACAGCATATGTTTCAGGAACTTGATCAATTTCTATGTAAGTACACTGTAAAGAAAGTCATAGCAACAACAATAAAACTGAAAAAGAAAAGTTATCAAAGTCTAGCATCTTAAAATTGATCAAAGGCCTGACTATTATGAAAGAAATTATAACTAAATTGAAAATTTCAATTATAAAGGCATTACCCTTAAAAAATATTCAGAATTGTCCCTAAGAGCATTTATTCATTTAGATATGTACTAAGCCTCTCCTGTCTGCTAAGAAATATATTAGTTATAACGGTGAATCAGATACAGATCTTGCTTTCAAGAAACTGAGACTTGTACATTAGTAAGACACAAGGAAATACAAAGTATAAGGACTATGAAGAAAAGTGAAGATGGGGTGCCAATAGAAGCTCAGGAGAGAGTTTCTAGTTGTGAAATCTTGAAACATATTGTAAAGGAAGATGTATGTGAGTTGAAATGTAAAGAAAGAGATCTCAAACTCAACGTCCAGTGTTTGTTGATTAATGATATACATTCCATATGGCAGCCCATAAATACAAGTGATTGCCATAGAAGCCCATGTCACACGTGGGATTCACCCATCAGGTTTATCCACAACTGTGAAAAGAACAAGAACTACTGGCTTACAGGATAGGTGAGATAAATATGAAGAGATAAAACAGAAATGGATCCACAATGAGTAAATAGTCTCATCAAAAGAAAACACTGGCCTAGTACAATTAGCCCTCCATATCCACAGGTTCCACATCCACATAGTCAACTAAACAGTGATCAAAAATATTCAGCAAAAAAAAATTCCAAAATGTTCCAAAAAGCAAAACAAATTTGCCACTTGCTGGAAACTATTCACATATCACTTATATTGTATTTACTATTTACATGCCATACATATTGTACTACCTAGAGATAATTTAAAGTTTATGAGAGATAAGCGTGGCCACAGAAAGGTCTGCAGTAACTTGCAATTCCTACTGTCTCTGAAAAATCTTCCTCACATAGCAATGGACATAAATGTTTAAAATAAAAGACACATGTGGACTATAACTGTTTTTAATATATACTTGATCATGGCATACATTTCCTGAGATATTATCTCTTTTGAATAATGTAATATTTTGTTTTGGATTGATTCCAAACTAAATATTTTGGGAAATTAAACTTATGAATCAAATGTACTATTATTATGATTGCAACCATTTTAAAGAAAGACATTTGTAAACACCTGCCTTGATTTGAGCATTTCAAAAGGAAAATAAATGAATGAGAGATATAAAATTGATACAATTCCTAAAAAAAAATAAAATTTATGAGAGGATGTGCATAGGTTATATGCATGTGTATGTCATTTTATATAAGGGACTTGAGCATCAAATGATTTTGATATCCTAGGGGGTCCTGGAACCAATCCCACAAGGATGTGGAGGAACAATGGATACATAAAACATCTAATATTTAATATATCTTGATACTAGAATATCAGTAAAAATGGAATCTAAAAATAAATAATTTAGCAATAAAAGCATAGTGTGAAATTTTCCCTTTAAATTCCATATAAATGGATTTTTTAAATAAAATAAATTTTAAAGGATCCTTTAATTGACGTGTATACTATCAAATGACTAGTGCATAGTATTGACAGTTATCACTGGATCAAGAAAACCTCTTCTGATGATAAAACTGCTATTTCCAGAGCCTGGAATGACTGTTTCTATTCTACATCAATCAGAATCCTTTTTGCACGTCAAATTCCAGCTGAAAGCCCAACTTCTGGTAAAGCCTTCTTTGATTCCTAGTCTGAATTAATTGCTTCTTCCCCACCGCTGTCACAATCTGCTGCTCTTAAATTTGGTGTTGAAACTTCATCCTTCTTTACAAGGTGGTTAGTTACATACACATCCTATTCCTCTACTAGACTCTAAGCTCCTGGAAGACAAAGCTTGTCTTTTTTTTAAATGATAGAAACTAAATGTTACAATTTATTTCATCTTCATGATTATAGGCATTATAGGGCAGGGTGGGTAAACAAGGCAAATAAGGTAAAATCTTTTCTCCCCTCGTTTAACCAGATGCAGCATGCTGGCATTTTTATGATAGGTTGACATTAATAACTAATTGACTTAAGTTGAAAGCTGGCAACAACAAATCTTTGCAATTTAGGGTCTTCCTCCATAGCCACTCCTAGGGTCTTAGTTCCATGAGCTCTAAAATGGTGTTTACCACCGCATTCTTGAAGCTTTCAGATATTTTATCATTATTATTTTTGGCTGAGCCGGGTCTTTTGTTGCACCCAGGCTTTCTCGAGTTGTGGTGAGCAGGAGCTACTCCAGTTGTGGTGTGTGAGGCGGCTTCTCTTGCTGTGGTGTTTAATAGCTGCGGCACAAGGGTGTAGCTGTCCTGCAGCAGGTGGAATCCTCCTGGGCCCAGGGACTGAAGCCATGTTCCCTGCACTGGCAGGCGGATTCTTAATAACTGGACTACCAAGGAAGTCCACACTTGCACATCTTAATATGAGATCTCACACCTCTTGTTAAGAGTGGTTGTTGTTTAGTTTCTAAGCCCTGTCTGACTCTTTTGTGACCCCATAAACTATAGTCCACCAGTCTCCTCTGTCCATGGGATTTTCCAGGCAAGATACTAGAGTGGGTTACCATTTCCCTCTCCAACGGATCTTCCCAACCCAGAAAATTCAGCCCATTTCCTATCTGGCAGGTGATTCTTTAACACCCAGCCACCTGGGAAGCCTGTTGTTAAGGTAGGGAACTGTTAAAAGCAAGACAGAACCAGTCTTGACAGCAAGCGTTAACTCTTTCCCCTATTCAACATGCTTGCATATGGTAAGCATTCAAATATTTGCTCAAAAAACTAACAATAATTATTTCAGCTTTCTCCAAATCACTAAAATAAAAGACCAGAATTCTAGTTCTGATTCAAATTATTTATGAAATTTAAATTCTTTGATTTTTTAGCTTCTATAGCCTCTGCCAGATAGCTAGCAAGTGATTTTTAAACACTGTTTTTGAGATTTTTAAAGAAAAATATTGTTAACAAAACATGCATTTCACCTACCTTAAGATGTTCCTTCAGGTTGTCATGAACTGCAGCAGGAAAATAAACTACTTCCTGTACTTCATCACAGGGTCTATCTGAATTTTTTCCAAAAATAACCCTGTTATCAATTGTTGCTGGAGGTAATGCCACGAAAGTGTCACAGGAACAAGGTTCCATCTTTTTTTAAACTAAAAATCATATGGAAATTTGAAAATAAAAAGAGAAAAATATATTTATTTAGTATATACAAAACAGAGTTTACTTGATGACTGGGGATATTACTGTCATATCTAACAAAGGATGTTCACTAAAGTTTTAAATTTCATATACTGTACTACAGAAATCAGTAAGAAAATAATGGGCATGAATCTAGCACTACAAGAATAAGTAAGAAAACAGGAATAACAAGTACCTCCTTCTAGTCTATAGCTCAGATTTGCCCTGCAAGCTCTTTCTCTTCTGAAGTCTTCCCTGAATCTCCTTTCACTATTTCCATATTTGGAAACACCTGTACCTATACTATAAAGACTATATTTGTGTACATATCTAACAAAGAATGTTCATTCAGTTCAGTTCAGTTGCTCAGTTGTGTCCGACTCTTCGAGACCCCATGGACCACAGCACACCAGGCCTCCCTGTCCATCACCAACTCCTGGAGTTTACTCAGACTCAACTCCATTGAGTCGGTGATGCCATCCAACCTTCTCATCCTCTGCCGTCCCCTTCTCCTCCTGCCTTCAATCTTTCCCAGCATCAGAGTCTTTTCAAATGAGTCAGTTCTTCGCATCAGGTGGCCAAAGAATTGGAGTTTCAGCTTCAACATCAGTCCTTCCAATGAACACTCAGGACTGATTTCCTTTATCACATTCAACTTGTAAGTCCTGACTGTATAATTTAATATCAAGATCATATCTTCAATTGTAATTTGGAAAAATCTTAAATCCTCAATTTTAGTAGAGCTTATTGGCTCAGTGGTAAAGAATCCACTTGCCAAGCAGCAGATGCCTGCCAAGCAGGAGACACGGGTTTGATCCCTGGGTCAGGAAGATCCCCTACAGAAGGAAATGGCAACCCACTCCAGTATTCTTGCCTGGGAAATCCCAGGGACAGAGCAGCCTGGTGGGCTACAGTCCATGAGGTGCAAAGAGTCAGAAACCTAGCAACTAAATATCAACTGAAACAAAATTTGCTTTTAGAATGGCAAATGGTTTTCAGTTTCCTTCTTTCCTTGGTCTTATACTACCCAAACCTTAGAATGGCTTTACACGAACATATTTAAATATAATCAATATTTCATTGTAAAGAAAACAAAATGACTCAAGTAAGAAAGAAACAAATTCAGCCTGAAATGCCTAACGGTTTTTCTCTTTTTCTCAGTGATGGAGAAAGATCACCAATGCTTCTGTTCCTGTGTGATTTTCCTTCCTTTAAAAAAATGTTTTTTAATTTATTATTTTTGGCCACACTGGGTCTTCCTTGCTGTGTGCAGGCTTTCTCTAGTTGTGGGGAGCCAGGGCTACTCTTGCTTGCAGAGCACGGGTTCTAGGAGCCTGGGCTTGAGTAGTTGTGTACTGCAAGCTTAGAGGCTCCGCAGTATGCGGGAATCTTCCTGGACTAGGGACGGAAGCAGTGTCCCCTACATTAGCAGGCGGATTCTTAAACAATGGACCACCAGGGAAGTCCTTCGTGTGATTTTCAACTTATGTCTTAAATCGCCTTCTATATGTGTTCCAAAGTTAGTTCCACCACTGCCTAACTTTGGCAGGCTATTTAATCTCTATCTAAGCCTACTGCCTCATCTGTAAATCTCTCAAAGGGCTGTTATGAGAATTTAATAAGACAATGCGTAAAACGTTTTGCACAATGCATAGAACACATCAGACACTTATATAAACGCTGTTACTGTTATTATATGTCAGAAGAGTACATTTCTCAGAAAAGCTTTCTCCTGACATCACACCCCACCTCATCCTGGGAAAGGACTTGGTTGAAGGATTGCCTACAGCAGCGGCAGCCACGTACCCTCAATACCCTGGAATCTCAAGAGCCACCAAGGTGCACTACGTAATCTGACCCAACCGGGGTAATAAGCTAAGAAAACAGGTCACCTGGTTAGGAAGACATCTAACGCATTTAGGAGGGGCAGTCTTGAGAGGCTTTACTAACCTCTAGAACATAGTCATCATTTAACAAATGTTTACGGACATCTTTCTGCACCAGGAGCCGCACAGTTGGTAATAAACTAGAGTCCTCGCTCTTGTGGAGTTGACATTTTATATACTTTTTATGCTTTAGTTCACCAAGAGCTTTTATCGTTTGATCCTCACAAACTTGCGACAGTTAGGGCAAGAATTACTACAGACGAGAAAAATCGGTGCAGGCAGGTTTCTGTAACTCGACACAGCGTTCACAGAATAAACTGCTCGGACTTCCAGAACCTCTTGCCGCCGCCCAGCACACACTCAGCACCCCAGACAGCTGCGAACTGCTCAGCTTCGACCCGCGCCCCTCCTAGGAGCCCCTCCTAGGAGCCTCTCAGTCCCACCCGCCGCACTTCCGGGCTTCCTACTTCCTACAACTACTGGGCTCGCCCGCCCCTCCTACCCACCCCCCCACCCCCCGGCACGCCCCTCACCTCGCCTCCGAGCTACCCAAGGGAAAGGGGAAAGGAGTGAGAATGGGCGGCAGAGGAGCTAGTGCCGGAAGTCGTCCCCTTTGACCCCGGAAGTTCCCACTGCTACTGGAGGCGCAGTTCCGGTTAGGCGGCAGAGTTTGTTTACGTTGCTCTCAAATCTAGCGGTTGCATACCCCAGCTCACCCTCCAAAATGGGGAAATCCTTCGCCAATTTCATGTGCAAGAAGGACTTTCATCCTGCTTCCAAATCCAACATCAAAAAGGTGAGTACGGTGAGCAGGCCCTTGGCGCCTGGGTTCTTAGGACCTCCCGGAGGTCAGAGTGATGGTGTGTCTGGGACCCCTGGGACGGCCGCCTTTTCTCCGTGCCTAAAGCCCTGGTGTTCTTGTCCCTCGACGCTGGCTCTCGAGGTTTATTTTACATCAGCCAGGGAAGAGGCGGCTCCGTCTGCTCTTTCGGCTCTGTCAGCCAGAATGTAAATAGTCTGGTAACAGGGTTCCTCATTACTTCCCTCAGCAGATTCTTAGGTTGTCTTTTCGAATCTGAGATAACGGTTTCTGAGCTCTGCCATCCCAGACAAAAAAAGACTATCTAGATAGATAAGGAAAGGAAAGTCACGTCTTGCTTCCTCTTTTTATCCCACCTTATCTTGTAGCGTCTGGTGACCTCTGAGCTGTGGCTTTTTAAATGACCTCTTATAGGTCTATTAGATCCAGTACAAAAAAAAGTATGCTGAATATTACGGCAGTGGGAAGCAGAATAGTGAAGTAGGATGAGTCCGAGCATTGAAACCTGACCTATATTCTGTTATTCCAGCACAGTCACTTTTAGCCCTGAGACCTTGCATAAAATATTTAATATCCCTCATCTTGAGCCTCCTAATCTGTAAGTTAAGAATGATCCATATCAGTTGCTTTGACTTGAAATTGTTATGAGGACTAAGTAAGATAGTGTAGATAAAGACTTTGAAACACCACCTTGCTCTCTGCCTACTACATAGAGGGAGTGCACAATAAAATGTTAATTGCGCCCCCACACACTGTTATCCTTAGACTATTCCTACAATACAGGTGGTAACCAGAGTTTCATACTGCTTATTCTGTATGCTTTCTCGAACAGTTACAGCCAATTTCAAAATTTTAACGACCCTTTTTTTTACTCCTGACTCAACTCTACACTGCCAGATCTTAGGCCCTAATTAATACTTTGGCCACGTCATGCAGAGTTGACTCATTGGAAAAGACCCTGATGCTGGGAGGGATTGGGGGCAGGAGGAGAAGGGGAC